CTGAAACACGCTCGAGAACTTCCACCTAGCCAAAATGCGGTATATCTCTTTGCTTTCGATCGCCGGTGTTACAGGCATGGTGCTGGCAGCACCGGGTCCATCCTTGTCTAAAAGGGCTTCTTCCTTCGTCTGTATGAAGTGCAACAATCGTGGAGCAAACTATATATCTGACCAGGTCGTGGATAGGGTTCGGCGCAAACGAAGCTGGCGCAGAGTTTGGGAGTGGGAACATTCCAGGGAAACTAGGAACCGATTATATCTGGCCATCGACCTCAACCATTCAAACCCTGCGTGATGCAGGGATGAATATATTCCGCATTCCCTTCGCAATGGAGCGGTTGGTTCCAGGAACTCTGACGTCGAGTATGGATGCGACTTACCTGGCTTCATTGAAAAGTGTACGGATCTATATCCTGTAGGTGTCCATGATGCTAATTCTGCAACAGACTGTCAACTATGTCACGTCCAGCGGTGGATATGCCGTTGTTGATCCTCACAATTTTGGACGATAGTAAGTTCTCGGATTGCATTGCGCTGTGGAGTATTCGTCTTACCATCTCTACATAGTTATGGCAATGTCATCACCTCTACTAGTGACTTCGCAGCCTTTTGGACAGCCCTTGCATCTGAATTCGCATCGAATGACAAGGTCATCTTCGACACAAGTGAGATTCACTATTCCCCAATCCAAGCCGTACACTAACGTTTTAGACAATGAATTCCATTCGGAAGACCAAGACCTGGTGTTGAACCTGAACCAAGCTGCCATCAATGCTATCCGTGCTGCAGGAGCAAAATCGCAGTACATTTTCGTGGAGGGCAACTCATGGAGTGGTGCGTGGACATGGACAACCGTCAATGACAATATGAAAGCCTTGACAGACCCACAGGACTTGATTATCTATGAGATGCACCAATACCTTGACTCTGACGGTTCTGGGACATCGGAGACCTGTGTTAGCTCAACTATCGGACGAGAACGAGTTGTGGCTGCCACACAGTGGCTCAAGGACAATGGCAAGAGGGCCTTCTTAGGTGAATTTGCCGGGGGTGCCAATTCTGTCTGTCAAAGTGCAGTGACAGGTATGCTCGATTACTTGCAAGCAAATAGCGATGTCTGGGTTGGTGCGTCCTGGTGGTCCGCTGGACCATGGTGGGGAAACTACATGTACAGTTTCGAGCCTCCTTCCGGCGTAGGCTATACCTACTACATGAGTCTTCTGAAGAATTATTTCCCCGGCTCAACTGGTTCGGGTGGGACAACCACAGCAGCCCCGACTTCCACAACAACTGTCGCTACTGCTACCAAGACCACCACAACTGGGTCGAGCACCACCGGCGCGGCTCACTATGGGCAGTGCGGTGGAAAGAACTGGGCAGGGGCAACCACCTGTGCCAGCCCATACGCCTGCCAGAAGCAGAGTGACTACTATTCGCAGTGCCTGTAGGCGAAGAAATAGGACTAGAAGATATAGGTATCAGCAGTACCTTGGTCAGGGTCTTATACTGCCAATGAGATCAAGCTTTGAATCATCGTTTATTTATTCCTCACTAGCAAAGCCTCGTTTGTTTGCCCACTCGTACTTTTCAGATCTTTCTCAAGATTGAGACAGAACTAATACCGACTAGACTTGATTGTTTCACCTTTCATCAACATTATTCTTATAAAGACGTTGTGACAGACATAATTTATACGCAAATAAACCAACCCATCCTCGAGAGAAACCTAAGAAGAACAACTAAGCCGAGTCGCCCACTCCGGATATAGCATTTGGAAAGAGGACCCTAGGCTGGCTTCATGGCTTACCCCCTAGCTGAAATAGAGCTGGAGTTTGATGGCCTGGACGGGACTTCGCCAGGCATCGGCTTGCGGGCCCACACTCTTCTCCTATACTAGTGGTCAGTCTGGCCCCGTGGGGAATCTGAGCGATGACAGATTAGAACTTACGCTTTGTGGTATGCGTGGTAGTTTGGGTTCTTTACTTCACTGCGTATCCTTGCACAGTATACATGAACTTCCTCTTTAGTCCACGGGTTGGGGTCGCCGAATTTCGTTAGCAACCACATGCACCACCCTTCCATACCAGAAATCCAGTGTTGGCAATTGACTACACCTGCCTCCTTGAACTTTTGATCTCTCGGCCATGGCCCAATTGGCCACTTGTATATCTTTTCGTGCAAGTCCACAAACCCGGCGTTCTTGATGCTTTCCGACATGGTGAGGACTATATCGAATGACCGACCAGCGCGATCACCGCACTTTTGCATAAGTGGACCCCACGAGGACAAGGCACTATCGGCTGGGAGACTTCCATCGTCACTTGTGACAAAAGGGCCAGCCTCGATCTGCTCAATCCACCCACCAGGGGCCATTTTCCTGTTATAGGGTTAGACTGGCCTGGTCACTTCACTCTATTGATAACCTACTCAAAGCAGTGCCGATAAACAAGTTCCCACTCAGAAGAGTCAAAAGATCCGAACATATTGCGCATATGGATTAGATCAAATTGTTCGCGCCATGTCCAGTCTTGCAGCACATCATCGACCTCGATGACGCAGTTGGGCGGCGTCCAGGTGACTGGAGGTGGGAAAAGATCGACTCCTCTGACAGTGGCATTCGGGAGCATATCAGCCACATCGCTAGAAACGATGAGTATTTGACGTTTTTCACAGTGCTAGAACAGTCTACAGACATACATGGCCCAGGTGCCTTTTCCGGTTCCAATATCGAGAACTTGTATCGGACGTTCGCGGTCTGTCCCGATAGGTGACCGAAACAATGGGTTGGCTCGATCGGAGTCCATGATGAGATCCACGAGATGTCTGTGATGGTCAGAGGCGTGTGCTGGACTAGGATTGGAATACGTACCCTGCCTCATAGGTCTCGAATTGTTGCTCATCCGATGGGAAACTATAAAGCAATGAGTCTATCCTTATTTTGTGACATTTCAACTACATACCAATATTCTTTTTTCGAAAACGATTGATATCTATAGGAGCATGAGGCTATGTTAAATATCATCAAGTGATCCAATATGGGGAGCTCTTACCGCCTCCCATTGTCCATCAAACCACGATAGATCGATGACCTAATTGAGGTAGTTCCCCTGGTTGTATAAATGTAAGGAACGAAGTGCAAGATATCAATTGTCACATGCAAACTCACGACCGCCAGTCATCGGGGCTATAAGTGCTGTCAGGAGCGTATAAGTCTGGATCGATAGAGATGGGGTTCATATTGTTTCCCTCTTTTTATTGTGTTCTGTTCTGTTCTTCCTGTTTTCTTTTCTTTTTCTTTACAAATGAACGTTGAGACAGAACAGCAATCATGGATATAAGGGGACGGGAGTATAGCGGCCAAAGAGAGACAAGAGGAAAATAGACTATAAAGCCAACCATACGGAGTCCTCCGTGGAGACATCAAGGTTAATATTACCACCGGTGTAGCCCTCAGTCCCGGGTCAACCATTGATGCGGGACTGAGGCGGTATTCCGTGGCAGAAGCTGAGAAGTGTAAGAAGCCGGCTCTCTCCCACCGTTACCTAGCAAGAAGTTGTCCCTGAATACTATCTTGCTACTCAGTTGAAGCCAGTTTGTAGGCCTGTGTGGCCGTCTCTACTAGTAGTCTGTTTTAAGCCTTGCCGGCGGTTTAGAGAATTGTCTGCCACACCGGTGGAGCCACTTTTACTTTTACCTTGCCACAAAGAGATCGCTGATTGGCTGTGAACACGGCAACTTCATCCTTCAACCGTGGAATTTGAACGCTTGGCGTACCTGTTCCCCACACGGAATTACCCCTAACCGTCAACTCTCCTTCACCAACACACCACGCTACCCAGTGTTGGTGGGCCCCAGTCAACGATAAATACCATTCAACAATAAAATCATGAAATTAGGTACCTTTTATATGGTGTGCCTATACAAAGGATACAAAGGATACCAGATTGAAAAATGTCCATTTTTCTCAACCCTCAAACTAGCTAGAGGAGAAATAAATAGCTTATTCGCTACTAATATTAATTAATATACAATTGTGAGAAGTGTATTATAATGGCACTATATATAATATAGAGCTTAAATGTTGGATTACTTTAAGTACACTTAATATTTATTACTGATATTAGTACTAAATGAACTAGACTTCCTTAAGAAGATATATAGACCTATAATTTCTCTATCTATGTAGTGGGTTGAGAAATATAGATATTTTTGATCTAGTATCCTTTATATCTTTTGTATGGGCACACCATATAAAAGGTACCTAATTTCATGATTTTATTGTTGAGTGGTATTTATCGTTGATTGGGGCCCACCAACACCGGGTAGTGTGTTGGTAGGCTTGGCACGATTAGTACGTTAATATTTATGTGCATGTTCGTAATTTATACGTATTTAGAGGATTCCGATACTTCGGACCTTTTATGATGACAGGTCAAGTCCAAATTTAAATACCTCGCCTTACAACCCCTGTGTTGTACACTAGTATTCGCGAATATGCCACCCCCTAGGTAGGTATCTTTGGTTGAGCCATTGCTCGCTTTTCAGATAGTTCTGCAAGAACCATTAATATGACAATAGCCTCGACTTGTCTCGTGATCCCTAAAGCCTCTGGGGCCCATATTGGCCAGATCGCAAGAGACGAGCTGTGCTGTCCCCCTGCACCCCAGTGCTATACGACAAAACATAAACCACGTCATAAATATAGCATTGGAAAATTTATACATGTATTTCATTATATCTGCAGGTCAAGTTCCTTCGGTGTTGCGGTACCCGTTGCCGAGGGTGGTGCAGACCGAGTATCTTCTGCATCACAGCAGTTCACTGTGCAACCCTTGTATAACCTTGGTGGATTAATATTTAAGACCTGTTGGTCTTCAAGTCTGCTAGAACAAATCTTGGAAAGTATCGACCAGGAACGATGGCAGAAGGCAACCCGTCAACTCTCAATCAATTTGTTCAAATTCTAGCACAGACTCGGGGGATACACATAGACGTCCCAAATGGTAAGTATGTTTGCCCTTTTGCACCCGCTGTTTTGGGTAGATTTGCTTCCATTTCGGGCTTTTAGAGGCATCCCATGCCACCCAGAATGCCCTCCAAAACTTGGAGTATATCTCAGCAATTCTTCGAACCGACCATACCAAGCAACGAGAGGCTGATGTCCTGACCGATGTCCTTGGTATTTGCCATCAGCCAGCCATGCTAGGGGGGCCTAGGAATATCCAAACATGATTTTCTAACAGTGCAACAACAATCGGAAATCTTGTTCCTTGTGGATGCGTGGCTGGAATCACTCAATTCAGCCGATCGAGAAAAATCAATCCCTTGCCGTCTAACACAAAGGCCAGAAGGCCGCCGAGGAATGACTATAAGTGAAAAGATATTTGCGATGCATGATCTAAATCACAAAGGGTTTGTGGCTCCAGGCGACATAATTCGTGTCCATGTTGACTGGATACTTGCCTCTGAGGTGTCTTGGGCCGTAGGTTTGCTTCCGAAGGCGCCGTGAGCTGTGGGCTGACCTTGAGTCTCAAGGGAATGGAAACAACATACAATCATCTAGGAAAGCCTGGAATATTTCGAAATGACCGCTTCTGGCTTTGTGGGGACCATATTGTTGATCCTCGGGTTAACGAGCTACCTCAAGTGCAGGCGCTGATCAGCGGAAGCGAGAGAGCGAAGAAAACTTTCAAAATGACGGAATACCAAGGCATGAATGTCAGTTTCCCTTACGGTGTGCTTTTTGCACTCACTGAATCACAGCTATGAAGTACACTATTCTCCACACTGAGTTCTACCGAGAGCGCGCGCAGCCCGGAATGCTGGTCGTCGGCTCGGACTCACACACGTGTTCGTCAGGAGCACTAGGCTGTCTCGCAATTGGGCTGGGTGCTGCAGATGTCGCTTTACCGTTGGTGACTGGAGAAACATGGTTCCGAGTCCCAGAAACCATCAACATACGCCTGGTTGGAGCACCGAAGCCAGGGATTGGGGGTAAAGATGTCATTTTGTACATCTTGCAAGTGCTCAAAAGAAATACTATAGCATCCGATAGGATCGTGGAATTTACAGGCCCGGCACTCAGGCATTTATCCCCTGATACCCGCTTCGCAGTTTCCAACATGACCACAGTTAGTCAATACCATAAAATAGTTGGGCCAAATTTACTAACATGAATGGCAGGAACTTGGTGGCATCACTGGTATATTTATGCCTGACGACACCACCCACAAGTTCATTAATAGACGAAAACTTGCTCGTCACAAATGCCACACAACGTACTTCAGGCCCGATGCCGATGCGGAGTATGCCGCAGTTCATGAGATCGATCTCACGCATGTGGGGTCTTTTATCGCACGGTATCCCAACCCGGATGACGTGGTTCCAATTACGGAAGAAGAGGGAATGGAGTTGAATGGATGTTTTATCGGGGCATGCACTACTACCGAGGAAGATCTGATCCTCGGTGCTCTAGTAATAGAGCAAGCAATGAAAAGAGGATCAAAGCCTACCGCAAAGGGGAAGAGGAAGGTCGTTCCCGGTTCCATGCCAATACTGTATCGCTTACGCGAACTGGGGTTATGCGATATATACGAAGACGCAGGATTTGAGATCGGCATCCCCGGGTGCAGTTATTGTGTCGGGATGTCAGCCGATCAGGCCGCCCCAGGAGAGGTCTGGATTTCCTCTCAGAATCGGAATTTCGAAAACCGGATGGGCAAAGGTAATGAATCCTTTTCAATGTGATTGAATAGTTGATTGAAACCACCTGATTCAGGTTCAATTGGTCACCTCGCCTCTGCAGCCACTGTCGCAGCGTCGTCATTTGGAATGAAGCTAGTTGATCCTAGTGACCTACTTGCTGCAATAGATTTAAGTAGATGGCGGCAGCTCACAGCAGCAAGCATGCACTCGGATGCAACTAGCCCAAAGAGCGACCTGATATATGTTGAGCCATGTGATTGTGACTATCATAGGGCCGGTGCCCAGACGCAGAAACGAATAGTGAAACCGCGGCTAGATAAACACGGAAGGAGACAGATAAAAAGCGTTCAAGGCAAAGTACAGAGACTGGGGGATTTCGTCAACACGGATGCAGTGCGTGTTTATTCTTTCATCTATGTTCGTGAAGTGCCAGAGCTAATGGTAGTCTTCAAGCTCGCCCCTGCCGAGTTTCTAATTAGCATGAAAAATAATACGGACGCTGGCATGCGCTGTCTGGTACATACGCATCCAAAATTCCGCGAACGTGCTCAGCAGGGGTTCAATATTGTTGTTGGTGGCAAGGGCTTTGGTTGCGGGTCTTCACGCGAACAAGCAGTGATGGCATTACTAGGCAAGTCAAGTCCAACAAGGGGGCTTTTTTCCAAGAAACCATTCGACGAATCAGACATTTTTGACCAGAGTTTCTTTCAGGGTGCGGTGTCCAGTGTGTCATAGCTAAATCGTTTGCGTTCATCTTCCAACGCAACATGCCAAGCCTCGGGCTCCTAGGCATCACGATGGAAGATGAGTCCTTCTTTCAACTTGCGGATGATGGAGTGTCAATTTCCATCGATTTAAATTCACGAATAATTGATGTCGCTGGAAAGACGTTCGGGTTCAAGCTCAGCCAAACGGAAACCGAGATCTTCCAATTTGGTGGGATTGCTTCGGCTTTTGGGGTATTCGGAAACAAGCTGCTCGAGGCAATAACCCCAGCCAAATTGCCTCCAGGGTCTAAGCAGGAGGAAGCAGAGCAGCCGGATAAACGACTACAATGGTAAAATCATACCCACTGTCTGCATCTTGCTCATTGAGAAGGAAAACGGAGAAAGAGGCACGGCTGTTGACTAGCTATAAAAACCGAGTCGAAGGATCCAAGGTACCAACAGGACTTAAAGAAGAAAAATAATGTTCGCTAGCCTCGAAAAGTCAAGCTACCAATAATAGGTAATAGAGATGCGGTACAGATGGAGAAACGATGGAGAAAACACTGTGTATTGACTGTCTCGCACGAGGAGAAGAGGAGGAAGAGAAGGAAAGGAGAGGGAACTATCAAACATGTAGGTTCCATCGCATGGTGATACCTCAGGCATCCAACACTAACTTAAGCAAATATCGAGGTTCCTGATATTTTGCATTATTTTGAGTGAATGGGTATTGTCGCTTATCCGCTGTGCAGAGAGGCATAGTGACTCCGGAGTAAGAGAATAATATCTTTCGTCAAGTATTGAGACTCCGTAACATTATATTATTTTGTTGCATTGAATGAGTCATTACCCTATGTGTCAGGGGATCCGGGAATCGCTCGTCCGTGCCTATGTATCTGACTGCAGTCGATATATTAAATCGATACAATCTCTGAAGGCTTAGACTATATCCAGACTCTAGAGCGCAATCCATATATCCCCCAGCTTTGACATGGTGTTTCGGCAGTACTTTCATGGTTGACTGGTCAAAGACATGACGGAAGGAGACTTGAAGTGTGAGGAACCGAGCAGACAGTCATGGTAAAAGGGGTATCATTGGGGCTATCGCCTGCCTCTGACATTCGATGTAGAGATTGTCAACTGCTGCGATTACGTGATAATACGCGGGTCTTCTTTTGAGATCAGACATGGAGGTAAGAACAACTGAGTCAAACCCTAGCATGAGAGCCTACCAGGTAGTATCCCAACAAGTTTGGGGGTCACCTAGACAGGGGTATAGTGGTTACTCGATAGGAATATATAAAAGAATGACCACATATACGGGTTGTGGGTATCTGCTCAAGTGGGGGTTGACATGCTTTCCGCGGCGAACGCTTCGGCGGGAGCCGCCGAATTTCCACTACATCCTACCCAAAGAATGAAATTGGAAGCTATATCGATATAGGCTAGCGTGACATTAGGTTTCATGAAAAAAAGAACTCTGTTAGATGCAAAGTCTACGTGTATTATCAGGAAAATCCGAGACAAACCTGTCGGCTATTCAGATATTCATTTTCTAAAAGAATACCCCCCATAATCCTTTCTTTCCAGATTAACCACATCAATTGATGGGCGCAAGGCCTAGCTGGCTAACAAATCTCTTAAACATGATAGAGGCAAGGGGCTTAGTGAACCCATCAGCAGCCTGCTCCTTCGTTGAAATGTACTTGAGCAGATGGATCCTGCTTGAACTTCCTGTCGCAGAAAATGATAGCGGACAGCGATGTGTTTCGTGTGAATGGTGACAGGCTTGTCTAGCAAGGTATGTTTATGCTGAGATTCATGCATACGAAGCTCTGTAAGAAGCAAAATAAGCCACTTTGCTTCTTGTGCGGCGAGACATTGTGCAATGTACTAGGATTCAGTACATGACAATGCAAAACATGCCTGCTTTTTGGAAGCCCAGTTGATAGGACCTCCAGCAAGGTGAAACACGAAGCCAGACGTAGAGATTCCATTTGTTGAACGCGGGTCAACGTAGTCAGCGTCGCAGAATCCATGGAGTGACAATGAAGAAAAGGAAGCAGGATCACGAAATGTTCGTGATTGATCATGATCATGAGTGGCTTGATCAGGATCACGGTGATACCAGATGAGAAGATCAACTGTGCCTGCTAGGTAACGAAACAGGCGTTTGACAGCTTGTTTATGCTGGGGACCCCGATTTCTAGCATGCTTTGCTAGCTGAATGGTAGCATAGGAGATGTCCGGTCGAGTCCCAACCATTAGCCAGATAGCTTTTCCCACTTGCTCTTGATAGAGCTTGCATGCTGCGAGTGACGTAGTCCCAGTGTATGGAATCAGAGGTTCTTTCTCATTGAATGGGGTTGACACTGGCTTACAGTTTTGCATGCCGTACTGATAAAGAAGAGTAGCAATAAACTTCTTCTGGGAGAGAGAGATAGATCCCGACTGTGTATGTCTCTAGACTTCAACTGCAAGGTATTCTTTAACGGATCCTTTGTGAGTGAAGATGAAATGCTTCGGGAGCTGGCTTTGAAAAGCCTTTATCACTTTTGTTGATGGTGATAGAGCGAGAATGTCATCGACATAGACAATGTCGAAGATCGGGATAGTGCCTTTATTAATCCATTTGACAAAAGCAGAGTGATCAGCGTGAGTCTTCTGGAAGCCCATCGCTAGCAAGGCATCATGCAAAAGCATATACCACTCCCGGGAAGCCTGTTTCAAACCATAGACAGATTTCATCAACAGTCCTATCTTGTCAGATCGAGGATTGCTTGCTGGGATGAAGAAGCTTTGATCTTTGCTGTTTCTTCAGCTATCTTTTCCGCTCCTCCGGCAACCTGATTCTCTGGTAGTTCAATGAAGATAGACCCATTGATATCTGCATTCAAGGTGCGGCCTTGATGTCGAAATGGTGAAGCTCCAGCCTAGTGCAGCGGCAATGGCACAGAAGATCTTACATGACATAGGCTTTGCAACAAAAGAGTATACTTCATGGAAGTCTACATCTTTAACTTGATTGAATCCCCGTGCAACGAGGCGGGCTTTATAGCGGCCATCGTCCTTTTTAATGTCAAAGACCCAGCGAAGGGTAAGGGGTTTCCTCTTTGTCTTATTGGCGTCTCTGTCAACGATCTTCCAGCTGCCATTTTGCAAGTGAGATTGTAGCTCTTTTTGTGCGGCAGCAAACCATTTATCTCTTTATTTGCAGTTCATGACATCGACCCAGCCGTTAGGGAAATACCCTACATCATCTGCTGTAAGCTTGGAGGACCGTGTGTTGTCATCGTCCCCCCGGTTCTGGGTGGCTGTGAAAATAGTGAGTATGGCATCGTTGTTATCACATGCATAAAGAGCGGTTACAGCAGGATGGAAAGTAGTAATGGTAGCGAGGTGCTCCAGCATAGCACGGCTTTTTTTTTAATCGTGGTTGATCTGCGGAGAGGTTGTTGAACAGATCAGTGAGAGACAGGCTCGGCAGCATGTTCTTGTGCTGGTTGAATTGATTCATGCAGTAAATTCGGCAGTGAGGAAGGTATTTGCATGTTGGGATTTTGATCTGGAAGATCTAGATCTTGCTATACGTCCATAGGATAATCATCCTGGGATTCCACGGCATCAGGCTCACCCCCTTCCTCCGGCCCCACCTTTTGTCCCACCACACCATTGTCGAGACCATTTGTCGTCGGATTCGATCGGTTCGGAGGAGAGGACTCGGCGGGTTGTTTGGTAGATTTATCAGAAGTATAAGGCAAAAACAATCTGGTTACCATAGTAAAAAGCATAGAGAAAAACGCAGCATCCAGAGCTTCAATCCGCCTTCTCTATCGATGCGCTCTTCAAGCGGCGGTGTGATTTTGTAAAGGTTGAAGCTTCCTACTTTTGGAGAACCAACGGCTTGGTCTGCAATGACGACGTCTCGCTTGGTATACCAGTTTCAATTCGGGATTGCTGGCTGCATAGCGGCATGTTGTTGTTGTTAGGGGTAGAATTCAGCCATCGTGGCTGATCAAAAGTGATAAATGAATGAATGATAGATACAGCTCTCGTCTGAGATACTATAACAAAGCTTCTTTCTCAAAAGTGATAAAGAAGTGAGAGATACACTCCGTCAAAGGGATATATGCAAATCCAAAGTGAGATATACTACCTAGCAAATAGACAGTATTCTCAAAGAAAAGCGAGAGATAAGCGAGAGATAAGTGAGAGATAAGTGAGAGATAAGTGAGAGATAAGTGAGAGATAAGTGAGAGATAAGTGAGAGATAAGTGAGAGGCTCCTTTCGGGAGATGCTTGTCTAGCAAGATATAGGCTGACCATAGCGCTATTCTCGATGGTAAAGGGGTAACGGGGCTCCACTGCGGGGGTATGCTCGTCTAGTGAGATATCAATAGACCTTTGATGAGATCTTTGATGAAACAAAGGGGGAAAACGAGGGCCTCGTAACCTATTAGGGCTACAATACTGGAGATCTAGTTAATCACACTAGCAGGAGGAGGAGGGGGGGGGGGGTGGTGGTGGTGGAAATCGGGAAGAAGAGAGGTCGTAATGAATCTATAGAAAGCAGGCTGTATATGAAGCCTGCACTAACAAAGAAATGGCAAACTAGCAAACAGCTCAGTCTGCACACAAAGAGACAAAGTCATCCCATGTATGCCAACAATATGAGCTGCAGCCATTGCGCTAGGGGATGTGGTCCTTTCGTAGCCTGCGTCCAGATCCCGAGTGAGTCTGGGGAGGCTACTGAATGCGCCAACTGCCACTTCGGCGGCATAGTTACCCGATGTAGCCTGAAACCAGAATCAGACTCTGCGACCAGCGTGTAAAAGGGCTACACTCCAAACCAACCATCCACTTCAAACGAATCGTCCACTCCAAACCAACTACCCACTCTAAACCAACCTTGCACTCAAGACCAACCTGTCCCAACCATCGACCAGGAGGAAAGCAACACACTGGATGGCACACACTCCTCATCCACCATAGACCACAATCCACCGGTGCCCCTGCCTGAAAACGTCAGGGTGGAGGCAATTGAAACCCTGGAGCTATATCTTCCGGATATAGACACCGATATTGTGACGCTCCAGGGAATGATCAAGAACAAAGAGATCAAGCGGAAAGGCATTTTGCAAACCCTGGAGGCGCTTAGGAAGGAGGAAAAGAACTCGGATGCGAATAGCAGAGACGCTTACCATTCGCTCGGCCAACCTCCCGGGTGTAGGGGTGGGGAATCGAACTGAACCAAAAGCCAACTGACTGATATCAACTGTCCGCAGACAATGATTCAGCCGGCTAGCAAGCCTTGCGCCAATTCTTCATCGCCAACCCCATTTTGAACGGTCGATAAGGCAGCCCTGCTACCATTTAATGACTAGATAGTAGCACAGAATCGGGGTTTCGATTCCCTCGATAGGGATTTCTCCCGTGAGCTGCCTTACCTGCCATTCAAGATAGATCGAAGGGGCGTGTGCCTTGATCAACCGCTCCAACCCAGTGTGAGTGAGTGTCACGGTGTTGTCAGCACCGCCACTCCTGGTTGGCTCAGAATTGGCTAGAGGAGACTCGTCATTCCGGGCTGACGGCGGACACAGCCAGGGATACCGGTTGCGTAGCCACTCCTTGACAGAGGGAACGCATGTGCCAAAGTTCAGTCCGAAGGTGAAAGCACAGATAATGTCAACAACAGTGTCAGCCTGTATGATTGAGAAAGAGAAAGAAGAAAGGGACCACTATCTTCGTGTCGTCTGAGAACTCGAAGAGAAGAAAAAGAAGAAGAAGAAGCAAAAGAAAAAAAAGAGAGGAAATACAAAAGAGGGCGGAAGAGTATACGAAGGTAGGTGCAGCAATGTTGATTGTATCCGGAGTAGATTTGAAATAAGACACCATTCATTCTTGTTACTGCGTTGCATAGTACGGACATGAGGTCGATTCAGACTGAACCAGCAATCTTGGCCACATCAACTTTGTACATAACTCTCCTTTAAACATCTCCCACCTTCTTCTCGTCTGAATCAGACATATGATGTGGTTCGTAGGGTATCTCGTTCCATGTATCACTTGTTCCGGGAATAGGAACCATCCAGGCTAGGGCCCAATATACTGCCCCGGAGACAATGAACCCCGAAAAGTAGTTGACATTGTAGATGTACATGGCTCCCACAGGAACATTGACACCAATAGCACCAGCAAAACCAACAATGTTGACCAAGATGCCGGATATGTAGGCAGCATAACCGTGCCAGGAAACCCCAAACGTTCCGTAATAAAGCCCATCCCGTTCAGCGCTATACAGCGCTTGGATGTCAAGGAAGCCCTTACGGACTAGGTAGTAGTCACTAACCATGACTCCTGCGATAGCGGAAAGGAATACCGAATAAGCAGAGAGGTACAAGGTGAATTTGCTCGAAGATGCAACTAAGGTCCACTGTAGTCTGTTAGGACTTGTCCATCTAGCGTTTAGGGATGTACTCACGGGACACATAGCAAGACCGATTGCCGCACACAGATATCCTCCCCGTCGAATCGTGCAAAACCGAGGGAGTAGAGCTGTGAGATTGGTACCAGCTGACACGGAGTTGGCTGCAATATTCGTCCCTAGCTGTGCGAGAGCAAAGCCAGCTCCAATAACAAAGATCCCAAATCGCTCGGCGGAGCTTGCATCCTTCAAAAACATACCAAGAAGGGTAAGGGGGTTCCAAACTGCTTCGCCGAAGATAACACTGGATGACGAGGAAACAATAATCCCGATGAATGATGTCACGGCAAATCCAACAGGAATTGTGATTAGCTGGGGCCATAGTGCGTCCTTGGGGTCGCGAGCATATCTCGTGAAATCGGGGTTGTTGATAACTAATGCTGCAAAGTTTGCGATGCAGTTCATAATGCTTTTCACGAATGCCCAGGCTAAAGCACTGCCTTGCGCCTTGTTAGGCTGGTCAATTATTGGCCCAAGTCCGTGAGCGCGAGCAATTGCCCAGCCAAAAAATGCAATAGCACAAGCCGGCGAAAAGTATGCCTTTGCCGTAAAAACGTGCCGGACCTTGTAAATGGGGAACCAAAGAGCTGGCAAGGACAGCAGCCAGAAAATCAAGAAGCTAACAAACTGCTTAGTGGTTACCCCTGATGAGGTGGGAATTGTATTTGGCAGATTGTTGTAGCTTGGCCAGATAGCAGCAATCATTAAAGTCACGCATTCACCTGGAGGTTCTTAGGGTTAGTTGATTCACCTTCAGGCTTATATGATAAAGATTACCTCCTAGATAGCTCTTTGGTTTCGGGGAAGTCAGAAGTGAACGCATGTGTGGGGAGACTTTGCGTACCTGTACACCATACCAAATCACAGCCATCGCTGCTCGGTTGATGATGGGCCAAAACGAACCCCAAATCCCGAATGAAGCTCGATTGGCCACTGCGAAAGGAATGCGATAGATGGTAGCAATGCGACCCAATATGTAAACAAAAATGGCTGCCACAGTATAACCAATCCAGACGCATAGCCAAGACTGCCACCAAGAAAGTCCATCAACTATCATTGAGGATGAAATCATCCACGTGTTCTTCGAAATAGGGTCAGACACACTCATCCATGCTCAACACGCTAGAGCGGGAGAGAACCATCTTTGGCTTTTGGGTTTAATATCATAAACTTACCACATTTAAGGAATCCGCAATCCAGAAGGCAACAAAATTGAGCCACCCCCATTGACGGCGTTCTGGCTCAACTAACATCGAATAGGATAGACGTGTCAGTACAGATAATGAATAAACCACAGTCACGAGAAGGAAGATGATCTATCATTCATTGACATAGGAAGACTTAGGCATAGCCTCACCTGGTCGAAGATCATCGTTTGTCAACATCAGCTGTGCGGTTGACAATCCAGGCTCCGAGGGCACTTGGATCTTTTTGAGCCAGAACTTCAACTTGCCGCCTAGAGTCATGTTGGTGACAGAAGGTGTTTACAATACCAAGCTGCCTAAACGGGTCAAATGTGGTATGATATCAAAGCGAAGTGAGACTGAGTTTGTAGCTTAGACACAGCTGAAAGATAGTGGGCTGGTCACAAAAAGTAAAGTAGAGGGTGCTGGCCTAGTGTATTATAGATAAGGTGACAAAATCGATCTACGGAGCAAAGCCCTATAGGTAATAGGTAGACCTCGACGTATATCAGCTTTGCCGACGGGCAACCCAAGCCATGCTACGCGAACTCTAACTCTCAACTTTGCCGACGGGCATCTCAACCTATGCCACTTGAACTCAACTCTAACCCCGCATATAGTGGATTTGGGGGTTGTAGCAGTATACGCAGTAAATACATAAAAGGATGGATGATAGCTCCGAACCTACCCCAGTTAGTGTGTGGAGTAGTGCGGGTCTGGGGTAACACGTTTTTCCCGCGGTGGGGTCGCTTTCTTTTGCCTTCGATGTTTTACCTGTCTTCGCCATGCGTTTACCAAACCAAGGAGTACAGACACGGCTTCTAAGGATATACCACATTAGGCCAAGAATGGAAGGGTATCCAGTACTATATCATTCACATAGCTAAAGTAGTAGTATCGAGCCATCTTATACGTTGAATAAAAGGGCACCTTCCTTCGCCTATCATGATATCTTGGAGGTTGTCTTAGATTAAGCTTTCGGCGTCTGGATCGTCTCCATTTCCCCAACACCTTGGCGTAGGAAAAGGGGGGAAATTAAATAAAATAAAATAAAAGCTTTCATCAAGCATCTATCTACGTACAGTTTATGAAAGTGGTCCATATTTTGGGATCCCTAAAGGAAAGGCACGCAACTAGTCTTCCCGTTTTGCCAATGATGTATATCGTTGAACTCTAACCCCGCAGTTAGTGGAATTAGGTTCCGTCTCTGATCTACATCTCGCTGCTACTTGCTGTTGGCATTCTTTACCATCTTCCCTAAGACGTGTTGACTTTCTTAATCAACATTTGAGCTGGCTTTGTTGGGCGTTAGTTCTACATATTACCCTTGGCCGTCATACCATAAGATATGTTGAAACAACACAAAATGGCGGCACCCGAGAAAGAACTGTGTTTGTTTGGTTAATGAATGTGCTTTAAGCTTGCCCTACCATGTTTGAACATCAGCCACTGCTTCTACACTCTTTCTCTCGTTATCATGTAACGTTCCATAGATCTATCTGAGGAATGCAGAAAGACATGGAGTTGGTGTATATTTCTGACTTTTTCACTTCGGGTTTGTCTCCCAGGCTATGAAGACAAAAGTACGTCAAAGTGTTATTGCGCCTTTCTATCTGCCTCCCATGCCTGCGCTATCTCACCTTTCATGTTGAACACCTCCTTTGCGGAGGTCACCGCTTCCGAGGCCGGGAGAGCAGCAGAATGAAAGGCTGAGGCACCGGTGATGCTCTGGAGCAAGCCTATGTTTGATGCCCTCACACCACCTCCAACAATAATTTCTGGAACTCTGTTGCCTCGAATTTTTCGTTCCCGTTGGAGTTGCGTTTTGTAACGTACTAAGGTCTGCAGCTTGTCCATGCATTCGGTTGCTTTTGTTCCAGAAGGACCGCCATTGGTTAAAATTGATGCAAACCCGCACTCCGTGATATCGGCCAATGCCTTCTCCCAGTGAGACTCGGGAATGAGATCAAAAGCGCGATGGAACGTGCAGGGCCGCCCGCCAGCTAGTTGAACGAGCTGCTTATTCCGGGATACATCGACCCATGACAAATTCGGATCACAGGACATTTGTGGGGATCGATTCAAAATCCCGAAGACGAAGCCGTCAGCCCCACAGGACTTGAGAGAATTGAGCGTTCGTTTCATCAATTCAAAGTCAGATTCTCCGTAACAGAAGCCTTCCGCGTGTGGCCGAACCATTGTATAAATCGGTATTGTGAGCTGTGATTTCAATTCTTGCAGAATCTTTATGTTGGCCGATAGCCCACCGAGATGGTAGTCTTCGCATAACCTTGAGGATGATTAGTGAGAGAACGAATGGATATTTTGCAACTGAAAAATTTCATGCATTGGTTCCCTCCAAATGCCTGTTGGCGGGGACAAGAACAAGCAGAGTAGAAAGACTGTATTGATAGACCAACAGAAGACTGGGGAAAGAAGAGAGAGAGAGACTGAGAGAGAGACTGAGAGAGAGACTGAGAGAGAGACTGAGAGAGAGACTGAGAGAGAGGTAGGAGGTAAACAAGCAGGCATGTCTAGCCTGATAAACCAGGCAGTAACTCAGATCACGTGATCAGGCTCCAAAATGTCGCCAGGGGCAGCACCAACTTGGATACAATACTCACTCGATGCGATCCGCTCCTGCCCCCGCAGCAACCACTGCCGATTCTTGATTGAAACATGCAATCTCTAGGATTGGTATTTGCGTAATAGCAGTTTGACTCATGGCTTGTATTGGCTGCTCAGGTGGTTTGCAGTTAGCGTATAGGGCACGGGAATAAGTGTGGGGAGAGCTTTTATGCGACTCCCGGTCACCTGATTAAAGATCTCAAGAACTGATCCTAAATACCTATTATGTATGTGGTAAGTATTTACTCCAAGGTTAATATATATATGTTCTGAAATCTCCTTCGAATATTGCACAAGCGCAGCAATGTGTCACCGGACTGGGGGAAGCGATGCGACGCAATTGTCTTACACCGGAAGCAAACAATCCTTGGAAATCCCATAACATTACTTAGCCTTTCCTTACACTTCAGAAATTCCTCACTCTTGCAACTCTTGCTCCTTCCTTTTTCCTCGCAAATAATGTCTCAACGGCCAGTTATCGTAATCGCTGGACTTGCTTGTGAGACCTCGACCTTTCCCCGCTCGAACACTCGGTCGGGCGTTTCACCCGCGCCGTGGCCCCGAGGTCATCGAGAAGTACGCTTTTCTGCATAACGGCACTCCTCTAGCAGATGTCGCAGATTGGAAGGGGGCACTTATAGGTCATGCCCTTCCAGGGGGAATCGTGGTACGAGATGATTTCGAACAACTTTCCAGAGAAATCCTGGAGCGGTTGGCTGCAATCGTCGCTTCAAACCCCATCGACGGATTATGGTACGATATTCATGGCGCAATGTGTGTTGATGGTATGGAAGATGTGGAAGCAGAGCTTCTTCGGCGGATTCGAAGTGTCATCGGCCCAGATGTTTTGGTCTCGGCTTCCATGGATTTGCATGGGAATGTGTCAAGAGAGCTGGCGCATCAGACTGACCTAATCACTTGTTATCGTATGGCACCTCACGAGGACGCCATGGAGACCAAAGAGCGGGCGTGTCGCAACCTGATCGACGTTTTGACATCGCGAACCGACACTGGATGTAGAAGACCGCTGAAAGCATGGGTCCCAATTCCTATCTTGCTGCCGGGAGAGCAGACTTCGACTCGCAACGAACCAGCGAAAAGCCTGTATTTGCTCGTTCCCGAAATTGAAGCAATGGAAAATGTCCTTGATGCAGCCATATGGGTTGGCTATGCATGGGCCGATGAGCCAAGAAATCATGCCGTAGTAATGGTCACTGGATGGGACAAGGGTGCTGTCACTACAGGAGCGAAGCGACTTGCGTCTTTGTTCTGGCGTGTTCATAAGGACTTCCATTTCGTTGCACCCACCGGCTCTTTCTCTGAATGCATTGATAACGCGCTGGCATCCTCGAATAGGCCCTTCTTCATCTCTGATTCGGGCGATAATCCTACCGCTGGCGGATCAGGCGACGTGACCTTCGGATTAAATGAATTGCTCAAGCGAGCGGAGTTTGCAAAAGAGACCACTCCATCTGTGATTTATGCCAGTATTCCAGGTCCCCAGGCAATTGACGTTATAACCAAGGCTGGTGTGGGCACTACAGTGACGGTCACCGCCGGGGCACAGGTGGACAATCTGCACGCTGGGCCCGTTACTATGACCGGACGGATTCATTCCATTAGGTATGGAGATCCCGATGCCGAAATTGAAGCTGTTTTACAGGTTGGAAGTGTGTTTACCATCTTAACCAAATTCCGAAAGCCATATCACCATGAGAGTGATTTCGTTGGTCTTGACCTTAGCCCCCGAGTTACAGACATCGTCATAGTCAAGATTGGCTATCTTGAGCCAGAGCTGTTTAATATGGCAGCGGACTGGATGCTTGCTTTGACCCCTGGCGGTGTTGATCAAGATCTACAGCGTCTTGGGCATCATCGCATCCTCCGTCCAATGTGGCCCTTTGACAAAACGTTCCATAGGGCCCCTGACCTCACCCCACGGTTGATTCCATTATCAAACGAGGACTTGGGAACGCCCCAGGGATGAATTCTTGAATACTACGATACATGGTTGTTCAGGCTCCACAACCAGTGGTTTAGGTCACTGGAGTGTCTAGAGCTACTTCCCTAGTGTATATTTCTATTTCCCTTGGTTTCTTAAGCAGGCTGCCAGCGTAGGGGACATAGCTTTCACACCCCTCATAGAAGTGCCATTTATTACCCTTCTTTCAGCCAGAGCCACATAAGACCCTATAATGAGCCCCGCGTACTGTATTGCACTACCTAACGTAGGGATGCGACCTGTATACAGGTAATTCGGAGGGTTAACCGGGCATAAATTTATACATAGATAGCTTGATCCCCTACAGTAAAAGCTGTGCTTGTCTATTACCTTTTGCTACTGTATTTCAGATCTAATTACACCACGTAAAACCAGCTAAACTCAATTACCGGTCATCGATAACATTATGCCGTTGATCACTCGCCAGAAACGCCACATAATCGTGACTCATTCGGTTCATACCTAGGTAACCCCCGAGGTCGTATTTATTGATCTTCGGCCCCGCGACAAAAGAAGAACTTGCCATTTGAAAAGAAACAATTTTCTATCCTTCCTCCAAGGTCCCTCTAGTCCGGTAATGTCATCCCGGTTGTGGCTCTTGCTTCCTTTTACTGACATTATAGTTTGAACGTTCTTCTAGCTTCGCTACTATGTGTTCCGAGCCAGCGAAAACATGCTTTGCCACCTCATCACCATACGAAGAAAAGATTGGTTACTACCGGGCCGTTCGCCATGGAAATCAGATCTTCGTTTCCGGGACTACCTCGGTTGATCCCTATTCTCCCACTAATGCGCCGCAAGTTCTTCACCCAGAAGATGCGAGACAGCAGACACGTGTTGCTCTAGAGGAGAGTATTCGAGCTATCCAAGGTCTTGGTGGTAAAGGTGCGGAAGATATAGTCCGCGTTAAGATGTTTGTCAGTCGCCATGAGGATTGTGAGGCTGTGGGGCGAGGGTTTAGTGAGATATTGGGCAAGCATAATCGTGGTGGAAGTGGAATGATAGGAGCTGCTGCGACAATGATTGTTGTTAATGGCGGCTTCATAAATAAGGAGATGCTTGTTGAGATCGAAGTAGATGCTGTTGTGGAATATATCTGAAACTCTCCCGAACGCCCAGAAGAGAGCGCGGAAGAGAGAGAGCTAGCTATCTGGTCTTGTCACCTGTGGTGGTCTCAAACATCCAACATATACAGACGCAGAGGTATATACAGCATGTGTGGGATAAAGATTCTTACAAGGTAGTACGGGGGAAATTACTATAGATTTTTTGAAAATTGTATACTATAGAAATTAATGGATCCTCTAATCTCTTCATACATAGAAACAAGCTCTTATTTATGTGCTGGACGATAGGAACTAAGGGGATGCTTAGCCCTTATAGCTTTGGTTATGTCATAGCCTTGGATTCACATTTGGTGGGTCGACCTGAAGTAAATCAAGAATACGATGAATTCCCTGGTTGGGACCCAAGAGTATCTCCAGCTCAGCAACATGGCCTCGGGCCTGCTCCATCAACTCGCTCAATACTTCCCGGCAGTACTGAAAACTCCCCGTTGACTCCATATACTGCACAGCACGGACTTTGACTGCTCTGTCTTCACTGCGTTGTTTGAGAATATCGATGAGGTGCGTATTGTCTGGATCCGCACGGATGCTATGAATTACAGGATAGGAGAACTTTCCCTCTGTCAAGTCCTCCATCAATCCTTTTTTCTCTGCATAAATCCCGCTCTGTAGGTTCATATAATCATCCCGGATCTGGAAGATGGTACCCAATAGCCCCACTAGTCGGGAAAGGTCCCTAGATCAAGTCAGCTAAACGTTTCGAGATGGTACGAACAAGATCATCATACGTAGTCGTGGTACTTTGGATTTGCATCAATTCCACTGCAAGTCGAAACAATCCGCCGGTTTTGTACATTACCATGCGGGTGTATTCCGCTTCTGTGGGACACACCAGCGCATCGCGCCAATAGAGATCCATCCCTTGGCCTATATGTAGATCCAGCAACGCTTGAGTGAAAATATGAAATGCGCGTGGGTCATTGATTTCGTTCAGCCTTTCTTGTTGTAGGAAATATGCGTAGTTGGCTGCATTGATGGTTTGGGCGACGCCGAAGACATCATGAGCCACGGGATATCCCCGGCGGAGACGAGACGCGTCCTGAATATCATCTATCCTTCATCAAGTAATCAGGTACGGCTTCTAGAGCAAGCTTATTGGGACTCACAGTAGCGATGCTGTATGTAGCCGATCAATCACTTCTTTCACAATGGCCAATTTATCATCCGGCAGATGGAGCCATTCGTTGAAAGCTGATATCAATTTGCCCCGGATATCTTTCCCATGAATAGATAGCAGGTATTCTAGCGGGGCGCTGACAATCTGGAGTTTGAAAAAGGTTAGGATGCTGCAATTACACAAGCGCGGAATCTCCACACCTTCTCGTACGGTTCAGTGATCTGGCAACCTCCACTGTCGATCTCATCACTTAATGTGAAGTTTTGTTGGGTATGATTTGTCTGAGCTTGAAGTATTTGGAAGCCTTTGAGATCCTTCCTCCTATGGTGATATGCGGAAGCCGCCGGTTTATTATTTGTAAAAATCGTTGCCCGGGGAAGGTACTGAGAAATAAAAGCGAATACTTTTGCTGCTGTTAGGCCGAGCATATTTCCCTTCGATGTCTTTGAAGAATGCTCTAAATAAAACTGCACCGTTTTTGTTGGGATATCAACCTTTTCATATCACAAAAGGCCACCCACTCACGCCATGCATCGCTGAAAACCCCGCGGAAGGTCGGGGAGCCTCTACAACCACTCTCTCTCTCGGGCTCCACGCGATATGCAGGTGCATGACTGGAGGCGTATACCAAATGGAGTAAAAGAGAAAGGTATAGATATGGCTATGCGATAAATGCAAACTCGCGAGAAAGAACCACATGGGTCTGCAGTGAGAAATCACTATAGCCGCAATCGATTATGACATGACCGGATTAGGACTCAATATCTATTGGGTTTGCACGTTGATCTTGCAGAAATAAGGAATCTCCAAGGACCAATCACGAAACGAAACCCATTTTCAGCGAAGCGGACCGAGCTGGACGTACAATGCATTGTACGTGGAGTATGCATGTCAGCATGCATCTCAGCATGCATATCAGTCTCCACTATCCCGGGATCACTAGCGCTGGACCTACGTTAATATGTTTAGCCCCTCGCTAAACGCATAAATTATTGCTTAAACAACTGCAGGAGTGAACGGCCAGACTACGTCAAGGTACAAGGTGCAACACAATGATACGAAACGTCTTAAGGCTTTCATAAATGCCGCCCATCATACCTTTGAATCACTGACCTACTTACTTACTGGGCCACTAAATGAGTACAGGGGTAATCACTGGTTGCGTATGGGATTGTAGAGCTTCATGCAATGTACGTAGAACCTTATATAACTTCGTTTTGGCAATGATCATACAAATGTCCCCAAAATGGATCACGAGCCTTCCTGTACGAATTGGATAGTCTGGGAACTCCACGCATTATAATGCAGCCAGTTTTATAATCTCCGTCCCAATCCTTAAATACAGTCACGACCCCCATCAGCCACCAAGTGTAGGCCTCCCGTATCGCGGTTGCTGCACTACACAACCCTAGCAACATTTATGACACACGCAGTCAGCCGAATATCCTGTAAGGAAAATAAACCAATTCTTCATCGTGCCGTCTCAGGGATCAGAAGCATGCCGTCTCCATAGACTTGACCTGCTGTCCCTGCCATGAACCCGAGGGAAGATGCACACAGGAGGCGATATTGGTGCACGAGTGATTTGGATTGTACCTAGCACATCGAGAACCATCAACCCCAGCTAGCCACAGTGGATCGTGACGAGGCAAAATTGCATGTGATCTCAGCTGAGAGGGTCGCGAGGATTATGGTTGGCCCGAAGGAAAGTCCCAAAAGCGATTCATACTTGGTATAGAATGGTACTGTCAAATTACGATAAAACGACTGGTCTTGGCGGGCTCAATGACCAACTAAGTGAGGCTGGATAGCCGAGCGGCATCCACAAGGCGAGGATGCCCGGATCGAATGGAAAGAGCAATGTCCTATCATTTATATGTCTGTGCTATTATTATAGAATCGAATATAGGGCGAATAAAATGTGTGATATTGAACATAAATCTGCGGCCTACATCATCGCGTCACCCGCACACATAGCTATACATCTGTCCTTGGAATACCAGCCATTGTCCTAACCCACACACTCCAATATAATGATTCTGCAGCAGTCTTGAGATCCTAGAACGAGAGGAAATGTGACGTCCGCAATGAGGGAAAGTGAGAATGAGATCAGAACTGTTCTAACTTTACACTTCCTTCGATTTGTCTTCACATTTCCAAATGCTTTTGAACAGGTTGTATATCTATGCAGCCGCACGCTGTGCAGTCAAGTAAGCCGACGGATATCTTTTGTTGAAAGGCAACAATGTAATGTTATTGATAAACAAAACAACCGAGCCTATCATTTCTATACTAAGTGGATGGGTCCGTGCAATTGCATAGGATATTCCAAGGTCGTAATGGCAACAGGGAAATCGAATCATGTAACCACTAACATTCTCCAGGGCTTTCCACCAAGCCCTACTGCAGGCCAACCCATTCCCAGTCTATATATGTGAACAGGATAGCAAAGACGAGGACATACAAGGTAGCTTGAAGCGCCCACCACGAATTTGAGTCTTTGGTCCGATATCTCTCCCATCCATCTCCACTGCGCTTTGGCGGAGGAAGAAAATCACACATCACCCCATCGGCAATAGATTTTGATCCAATATACGCCGGCAAGTTACCTGCATATGGCAAATAGTATCGGCCAATGAGAGTCTTTAGTAGGTCATCTCTGGCATGTAATCGGACCAGAACGCGGGAGCTTTTGTAGACTGAGTTGACGCGGCCATGGCGAATACTGCGATATTGTTTCAAAAGAGTCTCCACCTGTCCGTCCGTGGGAGGCCAAGTATCCAAGCCCTTCCGTAAGCGGTGAAGTAGATTCGCCAGCGATGCAGCGTCCTCGATTGCCATGTTGGCGCCTTGTCCAATATTGGGAGTCATCTTGTGCGCACTGTCGCCCAGAAGAACTAGTCGGTCATGGTGCCAGATGTCAAAGGTATGTTCCTCCAAGACGGTCATGGAGACCGTTTCCCGGTTCTCCCATAATTGCGCAAAATTGATACCTTTGTAGAATACTGTACTTCTAAGTTCCTCTGCCGCAGTTTCGATGTCGCCTGCCGTGTAGCGAGGGCAGTTTGGATAAGTGTATTCCTTATCCAACTTCTGTATGACGAACCAGTACACGCGCCCTTCTTTCCCGTGGATCGTAATGATGGTGAAGCCATCAAAGAAAGCATTCACTTGCTCTCCTATAATCAACGCCTTGATGGAGGAGGAGATGCCGAAGAGACAGCGAAACTCTGCCTTGAGACCTGTGCAGTGTTCAGTCCCCATTCGAACCAAAGAATGCTTTTCATCTCCGCTTACTGGATCTCTCGATTGCCACTCTCGGGGTGGTCTTCTCAGCGGCGTTCCAGATCTCCTGCCGAATTTTGCTGTGGACACCATCTGCGCCGACGACGAGGTGGCCTCGGTAGACAGAGCCCTTAGCCGTGCTCACTATAACTATATCACCAGACTTCGCAACTTTTGTCACTCTTTCCCCCAGGAAAATTTTGCGACGATCTGGGTAGCCCTGATAGAGGATTTCAAGCACCTTCTGTCGATCCAAGAATGCGATTGGGTAACCGAACCTGCGCAGTACCATCAGATCCATCAGCAATCCTTTCGCCGGAAGGATGGGATGAAGTACGACTGACCTCTCATTTATTATCTTGGTAAAGTTGTTTTCGAAGCTGTAACCGTCCGGATAGTGGATAGTTGCTGTGTTTAGCTGCTCAGTTTGTTCCTCCACCAGATCGTACAGTTGGAGTTGATCGAGAACGCGAGCTCCGTTTGGGGAAATGCCAATCGATGCTCCAATCTGGGGTGCTGGATCGCTCGCTTTTTCGAGGACAACATGGTCAATCCCGGCACGTTGTAGGCAATGTGCCAGAGTCAAGCCCCCGATTGATCCGCCCACGATGATAACTTGGAACTCTGACTTACTCATCTTGGCTATTTAGATGAAGAGAGCCTGCTAAGATGAATACCACTGACTTCAGTATATATGAATACGAACGCCTTCCTGTGCGCATGCTTGAGACCAATGAATTTCTATTTTCCTGGGGTTCCTATCCACGTAGACAAGGACTCTCAGCTGTGCTTAAAATATTTAAAATACTAGCCAGTATTAAGTGGCATTTAGAAGCGGGCTACATATATTGAACGGCCTACGTACTTACTTATCTACTGTATCCGTTATCTAGAGTCCTAGAGGATATTGCTATAGCAATTAATATTTGAAAGGTTCAAACAAAAGGGAAATTTACTCTGCTCGTCCTCTGATCTCCTTCAAATTGTCTTTCAAAGCTATGACTATCGATGTAATCGTACCCCTGTTGTCTACATCTCATTTGAACTTTTCCGTCCGTGTCGTGCCAAACTTGCTGCCGCTTAACATACTTGTAACATAGCCCATAAGAGCTATGCACCATTAGAAACACATATACAATCGTAGCATGAGGGAATATTAAGCCATGCAAAATGGTCCCGGCGCATAATCGCGAATCCGATCACGCAACACAAACCAAAGAAGCGTGAAGTCCTGTAAGGCTTCAGCGTAAGCTTTTTACATCGATCGTCAATGGGAAGCTTTGTAGCAATAATGTTGCATAGGGGATAGATTAGAACACCGGGACTCAATAGCATAGAGTGTAGGAAGCACCATGGGTACTTCACGACAGAGAAGCTGACAGAGACGGCCAACGCCCAGCAAAAGCCGAGCCACAACCGCGCCCTAGGAGAACGCCAACGCAGGACTGATTTTGGCGTCGAGGGTGAGGTGCCTAGTGAAGAAGCCGTCGATTCCGATGGGAAAGATCCAATGGAGGTTATGCTCGACCAGCGGCGTACGGGTCCATTCTGGCGGCGAAAAGATAAATTGCGCCATATATCCATGGATAATGCCAAATTTTATGACTAACCCTGAAGTAATCCGATTTTTGGAGGGATAAATCAAACCATACGCAATCTCGCACTAATGTTGCAGCAGTTTCCTTGGACGACGTGTGACCATCCCGACATACCAACCTATATATGTCTTACTCTAGACAAAATTCCAATGTTGGCAACGCACTATTGGAAGCGGATTTCACCGTCATATTGCATAATGTAGGAATGCATGTCCATTGCATGTCCACCTGCAGAATGCAAGAATAAAGCGTGATGCAACTCCTGCATGTACACTGCTAGAGGGGCAAGTTAAGACAGTTCTATATGCGTTTTCGGAGCATCGGAAACAGGGATTCGTCGCTTCCACTCGGTCGGTTTCAAATTGAGCTGCAGAAACTTCTAAGGCTAGTCATTAACCAAGATATATCACTATATCTGGGATTGCGTGAATGAGCTGGTACCAGAGTAAGCACAGAAGCTGCGGCGCCAATCATGAACCTAGCATTTCACCTGTTGTTTTGTACACACAAAGTCCAATTGATAATTGAGTGGCACACTAATATCATCAAGTGAATTCCTCAAAGTATTGATGTTTGAATGCGGATTATTCTTTCCTGTACCCTGCTCCTTTCATATTGAAAGTTGATTCATATCCGTCTCTTACATCATGAGCCTCTTTGGAAGTTTGTTCGGATTCTTTCTTAGGGAAGCTAGCCCTATCCTGGGTATGGTTGCTGTGAGCAGCTTCCTTTATCTAATTGTTGACCATATTCATATCCCTCAATGGTGGGACAAAAAGACCCACCTGGTCGGACAAAAAAGTCCCGAGAGAATTACTAGACATGAATGCCCTTATGATTATCTGCGAGAAATCTATGGCAAGCATCATTGGACAGCTTTTGTCCACAAGCTATCCCCAGCCCTTCATAATGATGACCCTGCTAAGTACCACATGGTGCTGGAAATTATGGATGCTATACACCTTTGCTTAATGCTGGTTGACGATGTGAGTGCCCGAGAGCTTCTCTGTTTTTGTGATATGGGTGCGGGACAGACCATCTGATTACCAGTTTCTAGATTTCCGACGGAAGCGACTATCGCAAAGGACGACCCGCTGCTCACAAAATATACGGCCTATCAGAAACAGCAAACCGCGCTTATTACAGAGTCACCCAGATTCTCAACAAAACCACAAAGGACTTCCCCAACCTCGCGCCATGGTTAATGCAGGATCTTCAGGATATCCTTGAAGGTCAAGATATATCCCTCGTTTGGCGCAGGGATGGAATAAGCGCCTTCCCTATCGCTACCGCAGAGAGAGTTGCAGCATATCGAAGAATGGCCTCTCTCAAGACCGGTTCCTTATTCCGTTTACTAGGTCACATTGTCCTAGAGAATGATTCTATGGATGAAACATTGACCACAGTCGCGTAAGCCCTACTCTTCCCCAAAAATCCATGTTACGATCCGGGTTTGACGATTATATAGATGGAATTCGCAGCTCCAAAATGATTGCAAGAATGTTTATTCTTCAGAGTATGCAAAGCTGAAGGGCTCTGCGGCTGAAGACTTGCACAATCGCGAGATGACATACCCCATCGTGCTGGCATTAGATGCACCCGACGGCCATTTGGTGACGGGGGGCTCTAGAATATCCGTCGCGTCACAATATCCGTAATGCCATGAGGGTAATTCGAAGTGACTATGTGCGGAACATATGCATGAATGAGCTGCGTAAATCAGGTGCCTCGGTTAAAGAATGGCTGGAACTATGGGGCAGAAAGGAGAAACTCGATTTGAAGGCGTGAGCTTACGCGATACATATATACATATAAGATGGGTATCCTGTATCGCGAGCCTTGCCACGGGATTTCAACTAGAATAACGTGAATTTGAGCATCATATAATAATACAGGCTCTTCAAGCGCTAATCACCCGGGGCAGGAGACAGTGTTTAACTGCCAGTACCTAGAACCGGGCAGCTATCCCACCGAATAGTGATATATGAGTGTATTGGCCCAACGTGGATTAATATGAGTTGAACAGACGGGAACCTATCCAATGGGGCTTTCGTTCAGTTGACTACTTGAAATGTTGATGTCGTTTTGGCCCACCTATGACGGCGATTCTGGTCTATATTGTGCGTGCAAAGTAGTCCCATTTTCTCATGAGTTGCTTTTGGCGTATGGCTTCGCATGCTTTATTTTATATAGACCTTCCCTCTGGTTAAGCGCACCTTGTTTAAAATAATAAATTCATTGCTACCCTTGTTCTTAGGCTGCTCGGTAAACCGCTAAAGCTGATTCCCGGGGTTTAGTTATGTTGATTCAGATATAGCGGAATATTAGTCTCTCCCCTCGACGGGCACGCCAACTATTTGTTGCGTCCATCAATTCGGGGCACCCTCGAACAACCCATTGCCATTTTTTCAAAAATGGCTCGGTCACCTCCCAGTTCTGCACGTTCCAAGGCTCTCCCCAAACTAGCATCCCTGCATCCATCGTTGATTCACCCCAGAAACCCATGATATCGTGACAGAGCTGCTCGTCATCCCAGTCATCCCCGGCTTCGATGAGGTTATCACGCATCTTGGGGAAAGGAAAGAAGTCCAGCCATGGGTGATGAGGTATCGATTTCTGAATTCGAGTTGGCTGCAGGTTGGCTGGAATGAGACTATTGTCGTCCGGGCGAGGTGGCCTTGGTGGCAGAGCTGTGTTGAACAGTGAAATGGCATCGTCATCCATCCAGTACTCCGACCAGCCGATTAGTCGCAGGTTTTGAGCGAATGCTCGAAACACGTTAACCTTCGTCAATGTCATAAGATGATCGGCGGTCGGGTCCCCCCGTGCGTAACTTTCATACGCTGACTTGGCAAACCTCCGCAGAAGATCTTGTGAAAGTTCGGGGTTGCGACAGAAGTTGACTTTCGGATTGTCTTGGGAAGAACGATCTTGTGACTGGACGGTAGAGGTCGAACGAGGGGGTGGTACTAGGCTCTTGGGGTGGACGTCTTTGGTTGATGACAGTCGCTTACGCTTTCCTGGCAAAGATTAGATCCTGCTCAACAGACGACGGTGAGATGTGACGCACGGTAAGCCCTCTGATTTATGCGGTTCTGTCGCCGACGACGTTCAGTCGGGTCACTCAATCCAGACCAGTCGTCCGTCATTTGCTCAGCATCATCGGAGATAGGGATTAGATGGTCAGCTTTCAAGGTTTCGGACATCCTGGTTATTAGCACTAGGGTGTCGAACTTTGCGTAAGGGGGGACAACAGTCTCGAAGATGTGAAGATGTGAAGATGGAGCCCATCCCAGTTTAGATTGCTTGGCGATCGGAGATTGTCCACGGAGTTAAGAGATGACGTTCTGTCCACGGGTATGGTCACAGTGGTCAGATGCTGGAAGATATATCAACCTTCTAAGATTTCAAATATTTCCTTATATATATAGCTAACAACACAACCAGAGGAAAACCTTTGGCTTATCTAAACTCTGCGTACGCAAAATCAGCTGGGGCCAGGCATCGCTGGCGCTCTCCAAACGCATATAGACCCAGCATCATGCCAGTAAAGTTGGCCCCAACCGGAGGTGCTGCCGTAGCAGTATTGTTAGAAACCGACCCAATCCACTGGACATCGGGTTGTGTGCCTTCTCGATATCCAAATCGATACTCGGTGCCACAGTCAACTGTGAGAGTGACAGCAGTTTTTGTATCCAATCTACGCTCCACGGTGTCGCCCTTTGATGGTCGAAAACGGATGAAACGGCCCTTGCCATCTTTCCGGATACCGATGCTGCTATACGTAAAATAATTTAACCATACCACAGTGCCAGCCTCGGTTTCGGCTGCCGTCGGCTCAAAGGAGAGTCTTGTTTCCCACCTGCAGAAGTGGTGGGTTTGCTTGCGAAGGAACATGGTTGGACTGGCTGGCACTGACAGGTTATAAGGTCCGCCATGGAGACGAAGGTAATTGGGGCGCTCGGTAAGTGAGTAGTCAGTTACAAAGGGCGTGTCTATTTTCTGGTCAGATGGGCGCAGCCAGGTTCGCTCTTCGATGCGTACTTTTTCGATACCATCCAACCTGCATTTGCGAGTCCGAAAATTCATCTCTCCAGAAGACTGGAGTATGGAATTCGTAAAGACCAGGTCCATGGGAATTGAGACTGATTTTCTGTCCTCCGTTGATCACAGGCCAATCATCTTTCCATTCTAAGGGGACTAGAAAGGTCTCTCGGCCTACGAAGGTTAGTATAATTAGCCCGCAAGTACTTCGAGACAGCGTACCTAGCACTGAGTCTTCCCACGTATCTCCCCGTCTTGAAGGACGAACACCTAGAACCACCGCCCACCATTGCCCTTTGGTGTCCTCAACCAGATCGGCATGCCCGGTGTTTTGGACTTCGTCGTCAACGCCATTGCGCCAGAGAGGGTTATTTGGCCCGAGTTCCCACGGTCCCAACGGGCTAACTTCACTGCGGTTCACCCATTCGCAATGTCCACTTTCAGTACCACCTTCCGCTGTGAACAAATACCAATAACGACCGCGTTTGAAAATATGCGACCCCTCGGCAACACCAGAAGAAGATTCCCGGATCAATTTAGGTGCGGAGGTAGAATGCCCGGTTGCCAGGTCAACAGTACATATATGAATCGCAAAGTCTTTCAGCTTAGCACCAATAGTTGGCTGAATCTTTCTATAGGTGGACGATAAATATACGGTTCCATCGTCATCCCAAAAAAGCTGTAGTAGTCAAGTGTCAATCTCATCATTCATGCAGGTGGTAATATCTTTGGCTGAAACTCACATCTTGGTCAAATCCCACTTGATCAAAATACACTGGATCAGACCATGTCTTCTCATTCCAGATATCAGTTGTTTTGACATAAAACCCCTGTGGCCAAACTCGGTCATCCTGTTGAGGACGATAACGCTGAAAGCTCGCAGCGATGATATAGTAAACACCTCCGTGATAGCGAATTGTGGTTGCCCATACTCCTCCTCCCGGTTCCGGGGTATGAATTTGAAGCTGACTGGTTCGTGTCAATGCATGGCCTATCAATTTCCACTGAATCAAATCCTGGCTATGGTAGATGGGAACGCCAGGGAAGTATTCAAAGGAGGATGTGACCAAGAAAAAGTCTTTATCGACACGAACAATCGATGGGTCGGGATTAAACCCCGGGATAATGGGATTAACGTAACTCATTGCTGTTAGAATATGCTGGATTGACCGCATCCGCACCATGGTGTTGGCTTATATGTAAGTGAATAAATTCTGATTTGATTGGTGGAAAAACAACACCCGTATAATCCAAAACATGGCGCGATTTCGTATTTCAGAGGGGAAGATCTTCCAAATGAAGTCTCCGTACTCCGTAGTGGAATATGAGACATATCGAATCCAAAGGATGGTTCAACGATCGAATACTTCGTTCTTCGGGGAGATGTAGAATTCAATTCAGAGAAGGTATTGAGGCAAGTGTACCAGGTACTCCCCAGGGACTTAAGCGACTGCAGACGTTATATATCGATCGAAAATCCAATGCTCAGAGCTCTGATCACGAAGTGCTTTTGACATGTTGAGTACTCAGCCTTTCACAACGAGTCATTGATGAAGCTCATTTACCAAAACGATATAGGTGCATGATCTCGTAGCGCATATATAACAAGCATAAGAATTGCCGAGCAAAACGAACTGAGAATTGCGTCTTATAACCTGTTCAGGGTCAACAACTATCATCTTCCGAAGTTCTGCCGAAGGAATGTGGGGTAGCTAGGTGCGTCACCATCCCCTCATCCGAATCCGGCAAATGCGGGCTGAACCACACCGCAGGAAGAAGGAAGCCATTATATTTCCAGAATTGCTCTGTAGACTGTCATTGCTGTTTATTGTTCTGGTGTTGAGAACAAAACTCTCACACTGGAAGAATCACACGCTATGGCAACTACCTGTGAGGTTCAAAGTTCGCGCGATACGAGTCTTATCGCTCTAGAGACTTTGCCTCATGGCCAGTCAGATACAGGTTCACATTTGGGTCCAGAAAGCTTTCCCTTGTTGGAGAAATGGAATCAGCCTCGCATCAATATTCACCGGACCTTTGCGACGTTCTGGTCATTCCTGGTCATGGGTGCGAATGACGCAGCCTATGGTGTAAGTTGATATGGCTCAAAAGGAGCACGGTTTGATTCCAATGTTGCGAGATGTTTGCTAACTGTTTTTCAGGCTCTAATTCCATATGTAAGTTAGATTCCTCTACAGTTGACGAGAATCTGTCTGATCCATGGTACAGCTGGAATCATACTACCATCTATCGTACACCATTGTGTCTCTCGTTTTCTTGTCACCTCTAGTAGGCTATACAGCCGCAGCTTTTCTCAATCACCGGATCCACTATACTCTAGGTCAACGTGGTGTGGCCATTATTGGGCCAGCGTGCCATCTCGTTGCCTATGTTATCAACTGTGTTCATCCACCGTATCCGGTACTAGTGGTCGCATTCATTTTTGCGGGGTTAGGAAATGGCCTAGAGGATGCTGCATGGAATGCATGGCTTGGTAACATGGCCAACGCAAATGAGTTGTTGGGAGTGTTGCATGGGATCTACGGAGCCGGTGCAGTCATTAGTCCCTTGGTAGCAACGTCAATGATTGCTAAAGGTGGTCTGCCGTGGTATTACTTTTATTATGTCATGGTAAGTGCTGAAAGTTCCTCGAAAAACGCTCGATCACGATTTAATAAGCCAGACCGGATGTGCGGCCATCGAATTGGTGGTTTCTGGCGCATGCTTCTGGAAATCAACCGCCGCTGATTTCCGCGCATCCAACGTATCATCAGCGGATAACAAAAAAGGCGGTTTGAGAAATGCACTGTTCAAGCGACCAGCTGCCCGGGTAACCTGGCTCTGCGCATTGTTCTTGCTGGGATACGTTGGAGTAGAGGTCGCGTTGGGAGGATGGATCGTTACTTTTATGATCCGAGTCCGACAAGGCGGTGCTTTCGCTAGCGGTATGACGGCCACTGGGTTCTGGTTGGGTATCACGGTTGGACGGGTAATTTTGGGGTTTGTGACGCCCCGGGTCGGCGAGAAAATCGCAATTTCGGTGAGCACCACGTTGTCTCGTAATAGAACGAAACTAATTTTCAGCAGGTCTACATAGTTTGCTCCATGGCGTTTGCTTTGGTTTTATGGCTTGTGCCCCAGTTCTATGTGTCGGCCGTGGCAGTGTCTTTGCAAGGCTTCTTTCTCGGCCCCCTTTTTCCCGGGGTAGTTGTGATGGTTACCAAGCTTCTTCCTCGGCATCTGCATGTCACCTCGATAGGGTTTGTCGCTGCCTTTGGAGGTAGCGGAGCCGCAATTCTCCCATTTGCGGTCGGTGTGCTTGCACAAGCCAAGGGGGTGAAAGTACTGCAGCCATTTATCGTTGCCCTATCCGGTGCGATTCTCCTTACATGGCTGGGATTGCCGCGGGTGTCCAAGGTCAGACACAATGAATAGATAGAAGTTCTCACATGTTGACATGTGAGAATATTTCGGGAACATTTTTGTTATCAGATCCGATTATTTATCTCGGGCGTTTCGCTGATCCCGTATGCAATGTTGTACTCCGTTTCACGTGAGCGACTCATTCCTTTTTCTTTTTTTGTCCCAAACACACAATCGACCACATGACCAGGGTATGATTTTCAAAATTGCATAGTCAAGTGTCAACCTCAGGGCAAAACATATTCAAACCGAGGTCATTTCTCAGAAACCGTTCGGAGTACTCCGTACACCGTAGAGTATTAACCCCGATGATCTCATCATTCTAAGATCCGATGATCGGGCTGATCTCGGGACAGGTTAAACTGTGAAAGCCGTCAAAATTATGTGTTTTCTCCCCGCTTCCCCATATCAGAATCTGTATAATATAGGTGACACCTGCGGAATCAACCATCGGTAGTTAATAATTGTGTATAAACTTGTGGCCTTCCATAAGTCAAAAGCGATGGGCAAAGGTCCCGAGGTCGGGAAATGGAAGTTCCGAATTCCCCGGAGCCATCGCACTTTTCTGATTGGACAGCTCTTTTAAGCCGAGGCTCTTTCCTAATTGAGACCCTCGGCCCTTCCAACCTTGGGAACCTTCCTCCTCCTTTCTGGGGTTCATAACCCCATCTTTCCCCATTATCTCTCTTACCTCTAACCATATTCCCCCCCTGCTTTTTCCCACAATGCCATCACCTCCTCCTGATTGGGTTAAAGCCCTGAAGCCGTCAGGTCCGCAAGGATCTGAGCTCCTCCACCAGGAGCGTGCTCAATCGAATGTCGACGTCGAAAGATTATCCGAATTGCTACACACAAAGGAAACTTTGGAGCGACGAGCATCCCTCCTAGCTCTTTTGCAGCCCGAGAAAGTATTCGATAAGTCTCAAAATCATACTTTGGGCCGTGTCGAGCGGCTCCAGCGATCGCTGGCCAAGGCCAAGCGCCTCCAGCAGCTTGCGGAAGAGCACAAATGGTCGATGCAAGAGCTTCATGCGGCCAATGACTTGATCGGTGAACCTACTCCGTACGGTTTGCATGCCAGCATGTTCCTAGTAAGTGGATTAGATCCTTGTCAATAATTCAACTGTCTAGCTAACCATTATCTAGGTGACTCTCCGAGAACAAGGCACTCCCGAGCAGCATAAACTGTTCCTTGAACGTGCAGAAAAATACGAGATTATCGGTTGCTATGCGCAAACAGAATTGGGCCACGGATCGAACGTGCGCGGTTTGGAAACCACCGCCACCTGGAACTCCAACGATAAGACATTCACCATCAACTCGCCAACATTGACTGCCTCGAAGTGGTGGATTGGATCTCTCGGTCGCACGGCCAATCACGCCGTTGTTATGGCTCAGCTCTTTATCGATGGCAAGAACTACGGTCCTCACCCATTCGTCGTGCAGGTCCGTGATCTTGAGACTCATCAACCATTGGATAATGTATATGTGGGCGATATTGGCCCCAAGTTTGGCTACAAGTAAGTCGATCCTCACTCTTTCGCTAGCACTGGAGCTAATGACTACTTTAGCACAATGGATAATGGTTTCCTGCTGTTCAACAACGTCAAGATTCCCCATGTCAACATGCTGGCCCGCTTCTGCCAGGTCGACAAAGAGACGAACCAATATGCGAAGCCTGCTATGCCATCTCTTGTATTTGGTACTATGACCTGGGTGCGGGCCAACATTGTCCTGGACGCCGGCGGTGTTCTGGCTCGCGGTGTGACTATTGCGACCCGTTACTGTGCGGTTCGGAGGCAGTTCCAGGACCGCGATGCCGATCCACACGCGGGCGAGACCCAAGTACTGAACTATAAGATGGTCCAGGTGCGCTTGCTCCCACTTTTGGCATCTATGTACGCCCTTCACTTCACTGGTCGCGGCATGATGCGTCTTTATGAGGAGAACCAAAGCCGCATGAAGGCAGCCAGTTCGCCCGACCAGGAGTCGCGGGGCGCTGGACCCGAGCAGCTCCGCGCCGGCGCGAACCTCCTGGCGGATCTGCATGCTACCTCCTGTGGTCTGAAGGCTCTGGCCAGTACCACTGCTGGTGAGGGTTTAGAGGTCTGCCGCCGCGCATGCGGAGGTCATGGATACAGTAGCTACAGCGGCATTGGACCGGCCTATGCGGACTATCTGCCCACATTGACCTGGGAAGGTGATAACTATATGCTGACCCAGCAGGTTGCACGTTATGTATGTCATAGTTCCTCCATCCGTCCTATTCATTCGAGACTGACAGTATCAACAGCTTCTTAAATCCGCCCGTGCCGTCCTGGCTGGCAAGCCGGCTCGCAATGACACTAGCCAGATCCTTCAGGCATACCTCGATCGACGCGACAAGGGCGCTTCATTCGATGTGCTCGATGATGACAAGGACATCGTGGCTGCCTTTGGATGGCGCACGGCCCATCTCACTTTCGAAGCTCTGAAACATCGGGATGCTGAGCAGCGCTCCTGGAACAGCCTTTTGGTTGACTTCTGGCGCTTGTCTACGGCTCATTCGCAATACCTGATGGTTAAGAACTTCTACGAGGCGGTTTCCTCTCCCGAACTCTCGGGGGCCTTGGATCCAGAGACCAAGGGCCTCATGCATCAATTATTCCGACTCTTCTCCCTGCATACTCTGGAGCGCGAAGCCGCCGAATTCTTCTCCTCCGGTGCGGTGACTGTGCGACAAATCACCCTGACTCGCACTACTGCCGTATTGAAACTACTT